ACAAATGAAGGTTATTAAACATCTGAAATTATTATTTGGAGCATTGGGATTGCTAGACGAGGGCTTAATGAACTCATTTTTGTGAAAACCTCAAAATCGACTTTGTTTGACTGTAGCTCAAAATTTGTCTGTGCGCATTCCGACTCATTTTGCCAACACGGGTCACAAATATCATGTTTTGTTTTTAAATTATCTTACAAAACTAACCTCGCAGTATCTGCCAGGTGACTGTTATATTGAAAACTCATGTACTCACAGCATTCACATCAAAACAATGCTCCTGTTCATTCACACATGTGATTTCCAGAACATTTTGCCCGAAGCTCTTTATCTGTGAAGGTTTGGATGAGGGCTTCTTGGTAGTTTAGCCATAGTTTTTTAAAGGTCACCGTATGCATAAAACTGTTCATCTGTCCTTTGTAAAGTGAACTTTACTCACATAAAAGAAAATTGTTGGGAAATGTCAGCTACTGGATATGGATCTGTCAACATATGGCAGTATACAAAAAAATGTCACAATATGCATTTATAAATATAGATTTATATAATGCTAAAATAACACTGCATATATATTCACATTTATGAATATATTTATGATATATTAATTTGATATATTCAGATTTATGAATCAATATTCAGAATTATTTAAACAATATCATGTCAAATCAAACTAATGCACTAAATGTGACTTGTGCTGGCAAAATGAGTCACAATGAGCACATTTTCAAAAATGAGTTATTTGTATGTTCACATTCTACATTAAAAGACCTTCCGAATGATGTATGATTTGTTGGAATTGGATGAAAAATGACTGAGCTACACCTGTTTGAAGTCAATAGAGTCAGCAAAGTAAATTTTGAGAAAAATCAAGTTAAAGTTTTTTGAAGGTTCCACAGCAAAATCACCTGCAACGTTGCATCTTTTCCTCCAGTTCTTTTCTTAATAATAATTACTATATTAATAATCACAATATAGCTATTTTTTTATTTTATCTTTGTTATTACAAATAAGAACAGATGCAAAAGAAAAACAGTAGAACAAATATAAGAAAGGAACAAATAATGCATTACCTTTTTCATTTTACATCTGATTATTTGTTTTCTTGAATGCTTTTGTTTAGATGTAAAAATCCATTTAGTCTGTTAATTACGAATAAATTGATTATTTAAACTACAAAAGCAGTTCAATCAAGAGCAGCGAGTGATTCTTTTATTGTTAGATTAACATTATGAGGCGGCCTATATTAAGACCTACTGTAATGCACGGATCTAATACAATATTACACATCAGATGTTTTTCCCCAACAGTTCCCCAAACGTTCACTTAAGACATGAAAAGCGTGAAAAGCGAGCGGAGAAAAGGTAGCCTACTCCTCTCAGAAAACCTACAAATGAAGGTTATTAAACATCTGAAATTATTATTTGGAGCATTGGGATTGCTAGACGAGGGCTTAATGAACTCATTTTTGTGAAAACCTCAAAATCGACTTTGTTTGACTGTAGCTCAAAATTTGTCTGTGCGCATTCCGACTCATTTTGCCAACACGGGTCACAAATATCATGTTTTGTTTTTAAATTATCTTACAAAACTAACCTCGCAGTATCTGCCAGGTGACTGTTATATTGAAAACTCATGTACTCACAGCATTCACATCAAAACAATGCTCCTGTTCATTCACACATGTGATTTCCAGAACATTTTGCCCGAAGCTCTTTATCTGTGAAGGTTTGGATGAGGGCTTCTTGGTAGTTTAGCCATAGTTTTTTAAAGGTCACCGTATGCATAAAACTGTTCATCTGTCCTTTGTAAAGTGAACTTTACTCACATAAAAGAAAATTGTTGGGAAATGTCAGCTACTGGATATGGATCTGTCAACATATGGCAGAATGTGACAAATATTTGAATAGTGCGATCCAATAATAAGGCTTGAGACTGATACTCACTTTATACTGTAAGAAATGCATTACAACAACTAAAGCTCTACTTAATATGTTTCTGATGTCTTATGTGGTGATTCCCAATACATTCTAGTAAGGTGTAAGAAACTCTGCCGCAGTATAGACCATTTTCAGCAACAAATAAGCTTAACATATGCGCCCGCAGTAATACCTGCCTCTGCATTTGTGTCCCTGAAGAACAGCTGCGGCAGACAAGATCTAAGTCGCTTTAAAGCTCCATCCTCCTCCTCTCATCCTGAGAAAATCTGTCTTTTGGGAGGAATATTTGTGGTACGCCCTGTCCTTCTCTCAACCTGGCTTGTGAGGTCAGGAAAAGCAGAATAACAAGCACAACCTTGTCTATGAAGTGGATATTAGCTACTCGCTGCCACTTTCAAATAGATGTCATTGTTAAGTGTCGAAGTGTATTTCAAATCATGTCCTCAGATAACACTACAATCAGCACAATGGAGTCAAAACACACTGAATGAATATGATTCTGCTGTAAAACTTTCTTATTCACGGAATGAATAAGATTCACGTCTACAGGCAAAATTATTTTGCATTTATCTTCAAATAAAGTAAAAAAAAAAAGTAACTGTGTGTACTGTGAATGTTTCATGTGTCAGTGCTGCATATTGTGACCATTTTTACACAATAATGATTTTGCGAAAAATGTGCACAGAAATGTGTTTTGTAAACAAATGTGTTTGTGCTGCATGATGCAGCAATTTACACAAGAAAGGTTTTGTGAAAAATTTGCTCCGAAATTTGTTCTTAAGATTTTGTTGTCACTGCATGTTGCGTAAATTTACGCAAGAGTAGTTTTACAGACATTTTGTACATAAATTTCTTAAATGAATGTGTTTGTGCTGCATGATGTAACAATTTATGTACTATGGTTTTCACGAAAAATTTACACAGGAATTCGTTCTGTAAACGAATTCCTTGGCACTCCATGATGACAAAGTGATTTAATGAATGATTTTCACAGAAATTTGTTCTATAAACAAATGTGTCGTACCATCGTGTTTGTGTTGCACGATCCGCAATTTATTCTAGAAAGGTTTCGCGAACAATTTGCAAACCAATTTGCTCTCTGGACTAATTTGTCGGCACTGCATGATGCGTAAATTTACACAAGAGTCATTTTACAGAAACTTTGCTCTTAAATTTATCCTCAAATAATGAATGGGTAAAAAAATTAATAAATAAATTACAAGTTCTGTGAATATTTCACAAAAGTATTGGTGCTGCATGATGCGACAATTTACGCAACAATGGTTTTACGAAAAATATGCACAGAAATTACTTTTGTAAACAAGTGTGCTTGTGCTGCATGACCCACCAATTTACATTAGAAAGGGTTTGCGAACATTTTGCATAGACATTTGTTCTGTAGAAGAATCAATTTAAGCAAGAGTGGTTTTATGAAAAATTAGTTTCTTGAACGAATGTGTTTGTGCAGCATGTTGCAACAATTTATGTACTATGGCTTTTGCAACAATTTACACAGGAATTTGTTGAATGCGCATGAATGCGTCAGCATTAATTGATGTTTTTTTTTACATAGAAATTTACAAAAAAGCGTAAATTGACCCTGACACGTTAATTTAATGAATACATTTCTGTGTAAATTGTTCGCATAGAAATACAAGTTTTGCATAGTTCTTTAAACAAATGTGTCAGTACGAACAATTTACACCGAAGTTCGTTCTATAAAGAAATTTGTCGGTGCTGTGTAATGCGAGAATTTACATGAGAATGGTTTTACGCAGAAATCTGTTTTATTAACAAATATGTTGAATGTGCTATGAACAGCTGATATGCAAAACCTTCCTACTTATCCATATCAGATTAAACATAAAAAGTTAAGGATAACATTACGTGATAATCAGTTCAATTCAAAATCGCAATTTAGTCTTAAAATTTGACAACTGGGATTAGAAAATATTAAAATAAATCCTTATTCAGAGATACATGTTTGTATCATTTGTTGTCCCTTATGTCATTCATTGTCTATTCCTTATAATATATATATATTTTTTTTTTCATGAAATGGTATTCACAACCAATTTTACATCAGCCGTATTTTGGAGTATTTTAGAAAGTCTGCATTACCTAACAGCAGTAGAAACAATAGCCCACGCAGCCTTTAAGTGAGCACTGTACAGAGAGTCCCTAGCTGCTAAAATTTAGAAAGATCACTACTACATATTTCCAACCAGTCAAAGGCCATTTATTGTAAAATGCACATATTGATTTAATTTTGTAGCACCAAATTTAGTCTTAAAATTTGACAACTGGGATTAGAAAATATTAAAATAAATCCTTATTCAGAGATACATGTTTGTATCATTTGTTGTCCCTTATGTCATTCATTGTCTATTCCTTATAATATATATATATTTTTTTTTTCATGAAATGGTATTCACAACCAATTTTACATCAGCCGTATTTTGGAGTATTTTAGAAAGTCTGCATTACCTAACAGCAGTAGAAACAATAGCCCACGCAGCCTTTAAGTGAGCACTGTACAGAGAGTCCCTAGCTGCTAAAATTTAGAAAGATCACTACTACATATTTCCAACCAGTCAAAGGCCATTTATTGTAAAATGCACATATTGATTTAATTTTGTAGCACCAAAAAAAAAAAGACAAAACAAGTCCTTTCAACCATCTTTCTGTGAAGAAGAGAACTGTTGCATAGTAAGCGGATATTATGGGGGTTCATTTTTGTCTGGGAGTCAGTGTCTCATTCAGTGAAATTATATAGAGATGTCAATTTATTGGAATGTATTTTTTTTTTATCAGTCACAGCTGTAGAAAATACATGGTTGCATTTTATTATTTGCATTTAGCACTGTTTTTCCCTGCTTTCCGTGGCCGTATCTGAACATGCACGGGTCACGACCTACCAGTCGAAAACCACAGTTCAACAGTAGATCTTTGTTGTTTACTTGACATTCAAACAGGTTCACTGCAGATCAACAAGGAAACAAACTGCATACTGGGTGGATTGTAGAATCCACACTATTGAGTATGAAAAATGAATCAGTTTACCTTGATTGTGGGTTTCTTGGTGGAAAATCCTCGGTACCATCCTGTAATAGACAAAATAGAAATGTCAACTGAGAAACACTGAAAATTCTAATAATAATAATAATAATAATAATAAATGAATTACCCCAAAATCAGACTGAAAAAAAAAAAACAATTAACATGTGACGTAACATATCCAGTATGCACCAGTATGCAATGACCTGATATCTTTTAGATGAGGTGGAACATAAAGATTGGAACTTATAGTACACTAAGGTCTGGGCCATCAATTTCACTGGCTGATGTCCAGAACATCTCTGAAATATTCTGCCTCCCATTAGATTAACCACACTGCTGCAGAACCCCACCAACATCATAATAAGCTTTCATTCCATAATAAACGAGCTCAAATCATTCGTTTTGCGATTCGGCCCGAATCAGTTTTCTAAAGTGTTTTTGAAAAATCACTCACTCTGCCTTTAAGTCTCTGCACAGTATGTCACCCTATTATTACAGTAAGAAAGCCAGCTGTTAGCAACGGAAGCCACATAAAGGGCTACATAACGACACATTTAATCATGACTAAATAGTCGCCTAGAGTAAAAACACGTCTTTTTTCTACACTGCTTGTACAGCAAGGCTTTTTATAACCTTCTCAAACTAACTTTTTAATGATTAAGATGAAGAGCACACATTTTAATCTGGTAAAAGACTTTCACTCATTGGTTAATTTCCCAGAACAGTATAAACACTGAGGCAAATTTAAAACATTGCTTGGTTTGTTTGATCATTCTGACCAGTCCAACAAAGCAACATGAGATCAACCAATGGCGTGAATTTAGGGCGGGACTATCTTATCAATGATAAATGAGGGGCGTGTTCAGGAAAGTTGTTTGAAAACATTTAATTGTTTAAATTCTCTTTGGTCAAATTACAATGTATAAATCATCTAACAGCAAAGTTAAATTATGCAGTCTTAAGATTTTGTTATCGAAATAGAAGTTAATTATTTAGTTAAAAAAATTAATTATTTAGTTAGGCAAATAAAAAACATGGAAACAAGACATTTTATATACAATCACTGCTGATGGACACGGTTTTCTGGGGATAAAAACATTAAACATTCTTTGTACACCAAAGAATTTACATTAAAAATTTATTTCACCAAATACTGCAAATACATCTTTATATGTACTTCACTAATTTCTGTCCGTTTTATCACACTCTTATTTTGTCTGGAAAAAAATAGCATTGGACACATCATCTACCAAATTATTCCTTGGCTTTTCACTGCTTGAGTATTTTTCACTTAATTAGTGCATAAATAACCGGTGCCTTCCCTAAACCTAAATCAATAGCTATTAGCAAAGACCTATTATGGTAAAAATTCACGAGCAGCAGCCCTGACTAATATCAATCCCTTTCTGAAGAAAAATGCCACAAAAGCTGATGCCACAAAGCTGGTGTTCTGTATGGTTGCCAGGGTGTTGCTATGCAGTTGCTAAGGTGTCTTGAGTGATGTTAGCATGTTGCTATGCCAATAGGTGTTCTGGGTAGTTGACAGGGTGTTGCTATGCAGTTGCTAAGGTGTCTTGAGTGATGTAAGCATGTTGATATGCCAATAGGTGTTCTGGGTGGTTGCCAGGGTGTTGCTATGCAGTTGCTAATGTGTTTTGAGAGATGCAAGCATGTTGCTATGCTAATAGGTGTTCTGGATGGCTGCCAGGGTGTTGACATGCTGTTTGTTAAGGTGTCTTGAGTGATGTCAGCATGTTGCTATGCCAGCAGGTGTTCTGGATGGTTGCCATTCTGTTGCAATGCAGTTACTAAAGTGTCTTCAGTGATGTTAGCATGTTGCTATGCCAATAGTTGGTATCGGTGGTTGCCAGGCTGTTGCTATGCAGTTGCTGAGGTGTCGTGAGGGATGTAAGTACGTTGCTATGCTGATACTACAGTGTTCTGGTAGGTTGCCATGGTGTTGCTATGCAGTAGCTAAGGTGTCTTGAGTGGCATTACCATGTTGTTATGCAGATACTAGGGTGCTCTGGGTGGCTGTTATGGTGTTGCTATGCAGTAGCTAAGGTGTCTGCTATGCCCATACTAGGGTGCTCCACATAGTTGCCAGTGTGTTGCTATGCTGTTTCTGAAGGCCTCTTGAGTGATATTATCATGTTGTTATGCTGATACTAGGGTGCTTTGGGTGGTTGTCAGTGTGTTGCTATGCAGTTGCTAAGGTGTCTTGAATGATGTTAGTCTGTTGTTATGCCAATAGGCTATTAAGGTATTCTGGATTGTTGCCTAGATGTTGCCATGCTGTTTGTTAAAGGGGTCATATGACATTGCAAAAAAAAAAAAAACATTATTTTGTGTATTTGGTGTAATGCAATGTTGCTCGTCTGTGCCCCGCCCTTCTGAAACGTGTCCATTTTTACAAAGCTCATCGTTCTGAAAAGCGCTGTGTGCTCTGATTGGCCAGCTATCTAGCACGTTGTGATTGGCCGAATTCCTCAAGCGTGTGATGCAAATGTTACGCCCCTTACTAGGTTCAGGAAACTTTCCTCCGTAAAATGTGCTGCACACACTTGAATATTTGGGTTGTACTGTTCTGGAACAGTGTTGTAAATAAAACTTAACCACTGATTTCTAGTTGTGTCCTCATTTGGAAGACCAAACAAAGTAGTTTGGCTTTCGCAACGAAACACACAGCATCTCCACGATATGGCGGCAGCAACAAAACTACAGCGAGAATAAAAGTTACACCTTCTTTCTTTGCGTATACATTTGGGCGGTGTTATGCAAATCTTCCCACACAGTGATGTAGATATGTGGGGGCGTGTTTGAATGAGGCGTTTTAGGAAGGCGTGGCTGAGCGTTCACTTTCATAAAGAATATCTCTTTGGGTTTGAGATTTTAATCTTTGCGACTTTACAGATCTTCTGTATGCACAAACAGCTTTTAACACTCAAAAGACAAAGGAAAACATGAAATCGCATTATATGACCCCTTTAAGGTGTTTTGAGTGATGTCACCATGTTGCTATGTGTAACTAACTGCTATGTGGCCAGCGAGTAGGTGCTGTGCAGGTAAACCTCACTCCCCTGATCTCAAGAGACACACTAGCGACTGACGCTAGAGGCTGCAGTCTTTAGCCTCCTTGTTAGTGCGTCCGCCTCCCATGCCAGAGACCCGGGTTCGAGACCCACTCAGAACGAGGTGCAGTGGAGAGGACCCGGTGGAGAGGGGTTACATATGCCAATACTAGGGTGATCAGGATGTTGCTATGCAGTTGTCTCGGTGTGTTGAGTGATGTTACCATGTTCTTATGCCGATACTAGGGTGTCGCATCATATGACCCCTTTAAGGTGTTTTGAGTGATGTCACCATGTTGCTATGTGTAACTAACTGCTATGTGGCCAGCGAGTAGGTGCTGTGCAGGTAAACCTCACTCCCCTGATCTCAAGAGACGCACTAGCGACTGACACTAGCGGCTGCAGTCTTTAGCCACCTTGTTAGTGCGTCCGCCTCCCATGCCAGAGACCCACTCAGAACGAGGTGTGGTGGAGAGGACCCGGGGGAGAGGGCTTACATATGCCAATACTAGGGTGATCAGGATGTTGCTATGCAGTTGTTTCGGTGTGTTGAGTGATGTTACCATGTTCTTATGCTGATACTAGTGTGTTCTGGATGACTGCCAGGGTGTTTCTAAGCCATTGCTAAGTTAAACTGTGGGATGTTAACATGTTGCTATGCCAATACTACTCATTACTCATTTTACTACCCACATATTAGCATATTATTTCAAAAATGTAAAAACACTCTTCAATATTCCACAATTTAATATGCAGGCCAAGTTACAAGTCAAAATGTAATACTTTGGGTTAAGAGATTGCTCAGATTTCCAACTTTTAATAATAATAGTGATGCCTTATCAAGCCCAACTAACTGTGTGATGGTGGGTCATTTGAACTACTTGGACATTTGGAGATAATCTGTGAAAAACAGGAAGTAAAATTGTTGGTGTGTGATGCAATCGTTAATGTAGCCATTTGTAAACAATCTGCTGTGACAACTGTGGAAAATATTCATAAGCTTGGCTGCTAATGTCGCTCACACCTGTGGCCATCTGTCTCGCAACCCAGACTCTGCCACATTAATCATGGCAGTCTATCTTTGTTAGTATTCTCCCCAGGTGCATCTTGAAAATGGAGGAGGTACACTTTGTAATTACCTATTTGGTTTATGCAAGGAATGAGCGGGCCACGTCAGTCAACGTTAGCCGTTTCCATTGTCACTTTCCATTTAGCACCAAAACGAGCAATGCAATTAGCTAATGAACAACATTTGGACGAAGGGTCTTGTGTCAGGTTGTGTGACATAAATTGGCATTGCTGTATAGGATCCGCATGAGTGTCAGTACATTTTTGCGTATTAGCAATGTAGAAATGGTTTTGCCGTTAGCTTGCTACAAGCTGATGCACAGTAGCTAGTAAACAAGATGATGAGGTCTTCTCTAGAGAAGAATCCAGAGCAAGACAACCACAAAAATTTGTCAGTGTCGTATACAAACAGTATTTGGAAGTGTTTGTGCTAGAGGCTGACTGTAGGCATTAGCTGTGATAGATTAGCAGACGGCTCATGTCTGCTGGCGTGAGACTTCCATGTGGACATGAGTAAACTCAGCATCAACACACAGCTGCCAACAAACAAACAAACACCTGATGAAATGTGTCATCTCTGTCTGTGTCTCTCAACAGGTGTAGACTGCAGGGACTTGTTGAGCTGTCAGATTGTTCATGTTCACAGCTGTGATGGTGACATGTCTATCTCAAGAGGTTTTGCTCTTTAGAGTGCCACACCCTTTGGGATTAATAGTAGACAACTACTGTCTGTCTGTCTGTTATCTACATGTCTGTCTATTGGTCTGTCTACATATCTACTACATACTGTATCTGCCTGTCTGTAAATATATCTATCTGTCGATCTAGATATGTCTGTCTGTCTATCTGTATATCTATAATATCTATGTATACCTACCTGTCAGTCTGTCTATCTACCTGTCTGTAAGTAGTTCTACGTTTGTCTATCTATGAAACTGCCTGTCTGTAAATATATCTATCTGTCGATCTAGATATGTCTGTCTGTCTATCTGTATATCTATAATATCTATGTATACCTACCTGTCAGTCTGTCTATCTACCTGTCTGTAAGTAGTTCTACGTTTGCCTATCTATCTATCTATCTATCTATCTATCTATCTATCTCTCTCTCATATATGTCTGTCTGTTTTTCTGTCTGTCTATCATATATGTCGGTCTGCCAGTCTGTCTGTCTGTCTGTCTCTATCTATCTATCTATCTATCTATGAAATATATATATATCTGTCTGTCTGTCTGTCTATCTGTCTATCTATCTATCTATATATCTATCTATCTGTCTGTCTATCTATCATGTATGTCTGTCTATCTAGCTATCAAATATTTATATCTATCTATCTATCTATCTATCTATTTATCTGTCTGTCTGTCTGTCTGTATCTAACTGTATGTCTATCCTACCTGTTATTTTCTTATTCTAGCTCTTTTCAAAGTCTACAGTATACTAAGTCTGCTTTTTTAAAACTTCAGTGTTTGACTGGGGCTGTTTACAGTTAAAAGGAAACTCCCAATTAGCATAAACAGTCAAATATCTTGTCAAGTCTTCAGACACACTGTTCTCCCTCAAGCTCCCAGTGGATGACACTGCAAAAATCTTCAGTTCTCAAAACAGAGCAGTCCAATCAGACCACTGGCCACTGCAGGCCACCGCAACACTCCAGATCCCAGAGCTTTGAAAAGCTTCGATTTTTCAGGCATCCATTACCTCAAAAGCATGGCACTGCAGCAAAACAATCAATACGTACAACAAACTGCTAACCCCGTGAATCAGAGGACTGATTATCCCAGCCCTAGAGGCCAAAGCCAAAACGCTCACCTCACCTGGTGACCCGCGGCTAATCCACTGCCCAGCACACACAATCTGTCTATCCATACACATCCAGTCCTTCAGAATGTGCAGTGAAGCATATTTTCCGATTTTTGTCATAATTTTTTCACCCTGTTGTTTCAAATCTTCTTTCTTGTTTTCTTTGAACATGAAATGAGACATTTTGAAGAATGTTCAAGTTGCTATTTCCCATAGAATTAAATTAGACTGTGATTTTTACTATCAAGCACCAAAAATACCCTCTATCTGTAACTGCAGTCCCAAAAAAATCTGAAACCAACTTTACAATAAGCAAATAAATTGCTCCCAAGACTACTTAAATTCACTTTACCAGTCAAACAACTGAGGTTGAATGGCAGAGTTTTATGTTTTGCCACTCTTGCAGACTGAAACATATTTCTTCCTCCTTTAAAAGGCTGTATTTCACTGGCTGAGGTACAATGCGGCATGCATCTCTCACTCTTTGCCTGCGGGCTCTGAATATCAGGCTGTAGCCATGACCATTGGCAGCTCTTGGGAACAAGCATTTTTTATTACTGACCTTTAAACTGCGACACTGAAATTGAGCCACTTTTCTTTCAGGACCCAGAGGGGGATAAAATGAAAATCTATGAAAACTCTGTTACCTGGAAGCGAATTTGTGCATTGCATTTCTGAATTACATTTAAATTCAAATTGTATTAACATGCTGACACATGTTTGCAACCTTTTTTTTCCAATAAGACTCATAAGGAGAGAAGTCAACACAATACATTTTCGTAATTCACTCCACATAGTAATTTTTCGACGTTTTTTTTGTTTTTGTTTTTTTTGTAATTTTCCTCAAAATACTGCTCAATATACAGAGTTCTGGCATGAAACTCTAGATGGCGCAGTCCGATAGGTCAAACTCAATCTGACCTAATGACATCATTATCACATGGCACAGCTGATTCGTTCTCTCCTGTATCGGTAGCCAATGAGCTCGCTGCTCAACGCTCAAATATATGACTAGTTATTGCAGTAGCAATTGCAGCTTGCTTCAGAAACCCTCCACCTTCCCCAGCTCCAACGACAGAACCGCTCGGCTCCGAAGCGAAAAGCTGAATATGCGCTACATCTGCTGCCTACTTATACTCACGCTGTGATCAGCAGCAGCTGGATGCAATAATCGCATGCCAATGTGCATTGGCTCGTTTAGTTTACACTCGAAGTAGATTGGTCTCTCTAAGCGAGATCCCAATTCCAATTCATCGGTCATCCGACGTGACGTCGAGAGTGACCGACTGAAAGGGAACTATAGTTCAACTTATGGGAAAGAAAAATTACAAAAATTACTAACTTTTTTCACCAAGACACCAATGAGTCTTGTGCTTAATTTTCCTGCTTCTTAAAGTTTGGAAAAATAAAATAAAATAAATTTAGTTTTTGACTTAGATCTGCCAAGAAACCAAAGTTTGCAAATAGAAGTCAAACAATAGATCAGATTTCAGTAACGTTTCCATTCAATTCTTTCAAGACCAAATGATCTGAATGGTCCACATTCAATTCATAGCTCTATTCTATAACAGTATGTCAAAAATTGTTTCATTTGATTCTATTTTATGCCTCATTGCTGAGCAACCCCGAAGCAATAATATTTCCACTGGGAGATCAAGCTAGTCTCAAAGTAGACTGATTTGAGAAGAATGACTCAGACAAAAGGTGATTTGCAAAATGTTTTGAAGCCTAGGGGGGACCATCAACATCTAGAAGATCTTGCTTCATCTACTTCTTCTCACAGTATTCCTGATAAAGGAAGATTACTCATGGAGAAAGTGAGTGAACTTTCGATCAATACTACAGGATCGACAAGCCACTGCGAATATCACATGATCAGTCCCGTTATCTGAGCGAGCCAGCACATCCAGGCCAGGGTGTCGATGTACAGCTTTCATCAAAGCAATCGATGATACGTCCATGAATCAGAGCCCTTGTCCTGAAAAGGGTACACAACAATCCCATTAACTGCATCTGCAGGACTGAGGTAAAGGTAGGTTACAGCTAGCTAATAGTGCTGTGGTGCAAAAAGTCAAGAAATAAAACCAAACTTATAAAACCTCTAACTTTGAAGAAGCTTTAGTCTACTTAAAGTCTACCTGATTCTGAATATATGCTAATCAAACATGCATTACTGCTCTGAAGGCTGAAATACAGTTACATGATGACCCTAGAGGCGCCCTGAAAATCTGTGTTAGAAAAGTCTCTCGGTTACATTTAAGTATTCAGAATTATTCTGGTACCAAAAGTAAAAACTGCCGGCAGCACAAGTTACACACTGAGTGAAAAACGCAGACACAGGAGAATGTCTTATAATATACAAGACGCACTGAACTAAGAGTGGGTGGTAAATGTCTCCTGGCACTTTCCATGAAGAGGTTACAAAAAAGGTTTTAAACTCTTATTTTATTTATTTATTTACTTATTTATTTATTAATTATTATTTTAATTTTTTTATGGTCATGCCTAACCATAGGAATATGTTTTCTGTCCACCATAGGAGGTCAAACGAAGTTTTTTTGTATTTCATTATTTTTGACTTAATATAGTTGACATGTCAATACAGTTGAATGATTCAACCCCGATTCCATTGTTTTGTTTTTTAGAAACAAACATGAAATAAACATTAAAAATAAATAAGAATAAATGGTAACAGTGTTGAAATTTTTACCTGAATTTAGCTGTCATTCTGTAGGACGAGATAGTTTGGGACCAAACGTTGGATTGTAATTATTAATAATTTACATTTCCAATAAAATGAGGAAAAATATTCATGACGTCTTTGACAATCGAGACACCAATTTCTACTTTATTCATGGAAAATGGCTTATATCTTTAAAGGTTTTCCATCAACACCCATTTCCAAAAAACATCCAGTTTTACGATACTTCCGGAGAATGACTTACCTTCACACTTTTCCAGGATATGAACCGTTTCTCCAAGCTCTAGAGTTAGACCATGTGACACTGATCCGCGGAAACTACAGACCACTGGGAAAAGAGAAAAGAGAAAAGAAAAACTAGTTAGAGGTGTATTAAAAGAGTTCGGAGAGAATGCATTCGAAATAAACCACAAAACAGAATGAAACGATTTCCCAAAACACTCCCCCTGTCTACCTTTGGTCAGAAAGCCCGCCCCCAACTCATGCTATTGGCAGAGTCTGTGTTGCCGTGTCAGGCTGGTTGTACTGCTCAAAAAACTGAAATTTGTTTATTGTGCCACGGAGATTTATATCACGCAATTCTGACTTAATAACTCGCAATAACCTTTTTAATTAGTTTTTATTCAGGAGCGGAAACGCATATTATTTAAAGCATATTAACAAAATATACAAAAGCAAAAAGAACAATAACAAAATATAATATTGCGAGGGAACTTAAAACACATCAGTAAATTCAACAGAATAGAGGTGAATAATTGTTGGCTTTCGTCAGGAGGGAGCTCTTTATGTTCTCCATACATTTGTTTTTCATCTGATGAGATCTGAGGAATGGCTCAGTTATTAATTCACTCGAAACTGTACATAAAAGCTGTAAATTTTGCTGTTGTTCAGGGATAAGCCAAAGATAAAGACAAAGCTGCTATTATATTCAGGTCATCTGTAGTCCATGCTTTTGCTGCTGGGTTCAGTAGAACAAAATGGGTCTGTTTGCTTCTTTGTTTTTTTGGGCCACATTGTTTTCTTCCTTGGTAAGTATATTTTCCTCCAAAATATAGTTACTATACTGTTATTATTACTCCAGTAACACTGTGATAACTTAGTATCAGTCACCACTGTCATAAAGGGTTTAATAAACAAAATGCAAACATTTTAAAAGCTTTAATTTAAATTTTCACTCTAATTGTTATGCTGATAACATAATTTATAATTGTCATATAATATGTTATTTGTAATAATGATTCAGCAGCACAGTATATGGCGCCATGGTGCCTCCACAGTGCAAATGGGTAGAGCAGCGCAGTGGAAATAATAGGATTTATTTTCAATGAATGCATTCCAGAATAGCAAAAACGGACACGTGAGGGTTTAAAAGCAGATATATTCTGAATTGCCATGGTAACCTGGACAGAGCATCCCAGGGAATTTTCGAATCCATGCTGATGAAAAAGCTCATGCGCCTAAGAGCCTGGCTGATTCCAGTTTTCCAAGAGCAGATATTTTTCCATAACCATTGCGACATGGGCATCACATGGAAAAAGTCAACATGACATCAGAAATTACTTTCTTAAAACATATTCCTGGTCTCACTGTGTGCACTATTTATGTGGAAAAAAAACTATAATCCATTATGAAAATACAACAATTTGCTCTTACTCTGAAAAGACTTTCCTTTTCCGATGACATCACTAAGGCCATGCTGACTATTATCCAAAGCTTTTCAAGTTCTGGCTCCATATCACCTAGTTTTAACAATCCAATCCATTCCAGATGGATAAAATTAAGTCTTGTTCTGCAGTTCTTATTGATTATCCCATTTCATTCAAGAAACTTGCAAATGGCTATTCATATTAACTTTAAGAGCCAAACATTGAGCATAAACGTGTATGTGTGTAAAATATAGATGCCTCTGAAGAGACATTTTTGAACAAAGCACATTCCTAAAATAAACCCCCTCCTTAGTCCACATGTAAATGCAGTTTATTCAGTCAAAATGTCCCCCAAACTGGAAAATAAGCCATCCGTTGGCCATTTCATTAGATAAGGATGAGATTATAATACTCAGACAGGCAGACCAGCTGAAATACCCAGAACAAAGCTGAGTCATTTCTCTGAATCCATCTGTATTTGTGCAACATGATCCTGTCTAGCTTGTTTTGCTGCTGTACACAGACATCTGATGGGGCCAAATTGATATCCATGTCTGCTCTTTCCAACATCTCGTCAAGAAACAAACTGTTCACGGTGTTACGATGAAACTGGCTACATCGCTGCTCCAGGAAACAATTGAAGCATCCATGATTTATTTGGACAACCGACAATGATTTAGATGACAAATATGATATTGCATGTTGCATACATTTATTTGTATATCATATTCCTTACTCAGACAGAACTACTTTGCCCGAGGAGCTGAATTAGTGTTTCACAGATTCTGAATGGTTCTCCATCTGAAAGGAGATACTGTATTCGTTATACAACAGTAGCTACAATTGCTTTTCTATGCAAAATACACTTTTTAGGAACTAAAAAAATTTAATACCCGATCTGAGTAAACACTTGTCGATTTGGACTGAAGGAAATCAGCATCCGAAAGCAACAATGGATTACATTATCTAAATGGCGTTGTTCCCAAGACACCAAAATATCAGCATTAACAATCAGACACTGAGTGAACTTAGTGTCTTTCAGGATTTGTCATGTTCATTTACCCATTTCTGATTAAATTGTACCGTTTGTTATTTATTTTCAAAGATCACAGTTTAATACTTAATGCTTGTTAGGAGGCTCCTTCTGCAGTTTCCAAAAAACATGTGACTGCCGCCAGAGGTCTGCATTTAGTAAATAATTCAATAGCTATTAAAAGAGCGTTTCATGAGTTAATCCCACTAAAAGACTGAATGACATAAACAATATGTGTCTTGAATATGGAAGACTATTAATGGCATCAGAAATGGCATTGTGATGGCCCTAATGCTGTAAAACAAATAAAAAATGCTGGTCAGTTAATATGTAGGTCGCCAAGATGTCTGTAATAGAGCAAATCATGCAGAACGCATCTTAAAAATAGTGAAAACATCTATAACACAAAAACAAACTCCCCAAAAACACACACACTGAATACACCGTGGTAAACATAGTAATTTACTATACAAACAGGGTTGGGAAGGTTACTTTTAAAATGCATTTCACTACAGATTACAAAATGCATGCTTTAAAAAGTATTTTGTAACACATTAGATTACTCAAGTTTAGTAACTTAATCTAAATACTTTGGAATACTTAAGGTACGGGGCATATTAACTTTGATGTCTTGTTTTTATGTTAACCACCTCTAAATAAAAATGGGTGACATGAATGCATTTAAAGCAATTATAAATATAATTTTTTTTTTTTTTAAATATGAAACTAAAACTGCCAGTAGGTGGTCTTAATGAATGAGTCATGGATTCATTCTATTCGATCAAAAGGACTGATTCATTAAGTATTGAATCAAGTGATTTTATGAATGTAATTGAATCATTCCCTCAGCGGATTCGTTCAAAATGCGGATTCATTCAGGAACCAGACAAGCACTAGGTTGTCACAGATGCGCAACTCTTCTGCTGTGTATTTAATTCCAAGGCAGTAGTTATTTGCATTAAGTGATAGATGCTAATTAAAGTTAGTGTAAATAGACACTCCGTATTTGGAACTATATTTGTTGCCGATATAGAGCAAATCAGACAATACTGTTCTTTAATGTAAGTCACTTAATAACTTCTTGTTTTTCAATTGCATAAAATCAGTATCACAAATGCTGTCAGAATCACTAGTTGCCTCACTGGTTAAATTTTTTTTTACATTAAATTAAATAAATTACATTTAAATTCAACCGAATCACTAAAATACTTTTCGGATGTAACTATAATTTGTTTACCACCCATTTAAAATGTAACAATATAACGAAATGCAGTTACTCATATTTTGTATTTTAAATACGTAATGTTACATGTATTTCGTTACATCCTTATTTGACATATTAGCTACTAGCCTAACAAATGCTAACTTGTTACACAACAAAAATAAACACTTAATATCCAAAAACAGGCATTACAACATTATCATTTAGTATATAAACTGTTTTTTTGTGACATATTTAACAACTAAGCTAACCAATGCAAACTTGCTACACAATAGAAATGGATTCTAAATATCCAAAAATAGGAATTACAACATGGTCATTTAATATATAAACAACCCATATGTGTACAGCTGCTAGGCTAAAAATGCTAACTTGCAACAAAACAGAAATAACCATGTTGTAATGCCTATTTTAGGATCTGACCTACACATCTGCTACCCTGATAGCACAAGCACATCAAGGAGACATCTATATGACGTCTGCATTTACATCTGCAAGATGTATTTTTTAGAGTGCGTGTTCATCTGCAGTATGTCTATAGGACGTTTCCTATCAGACGGCAAATAGACATTTAAAAAAGGTCTTTAAGATGTTTATGATTTAGAATTCATGTAAAACTGACATCTTAGAGATGTCTATCAGATGTTTGTACACAGCAGATGCAGATGTACATGTGCTAACTGGGTAGGCTAGTTCACGCTAACTTGCAACACGACAAATACTTTAACAGTTGGGTGTCAACTGTTTTATAACGAATCTTTAGCAGAAATATTAATAAACAAATATTTTATTAACACAAGAGAGACAAATATGGCACATCCTGAGATGAAGTTACATTTTAATTAAGGCAAATAGCTTGTCAAATTAGCATTTTTTGTGGTGCCTGCTAGCAAAATGAGTCGAATGGCTCTGCAGCAAATATCTGTACCCTTTGAGATGCGTGTGTGTGTGTGTGTGTGTGATTAGCGCAATTCACAGGGATGTTATGACAGACATGCTAGCTGAGGGCAAGTTAACCCTTAACAGAGAAAGCAGGTCAGTAAACCAACCCAAGAGTATCCGCTGACTTCATGTCTGCAAACATGACAGAAGACAGTCATTATATGCTTGGTATTTGCCTAGTAACAAATCAACTTACAATCTGCATGTATTATGCGAACGCTATAGGCTAAATTAAGACATTTGCATGTGGCATCTATTTGCAAACATTCTCATTAAATGGATGGTGGCCGCTGGAGCCCGTAGGGCCGCACCTCTTCCTGCCATTCTGAATTGTGTCCTGCCATGCCAAATAAACAAACTGCAAGCCAAATGGATCCATGCTGGCAGGTTTTTGTATGCGTGTCTCAATAATTTGCTAAACAAACAAGCAGAAAATGCTAATAAATCTGGATTTATGGAAGGGCAGCAGTTTTTTCTACTCTGTT